ACAGCCCAATTTGCTGCCTTCATTGTCATAGTGGGATGGTGGTATACGATCTCATATTTTTCCTGTATTCTTCCTTAATGTTTCAACAGCAAGTTACAATAGAAAGTACTTATTTTATCTGGCAAAGAGTTGACCTTGTTTCCTGTTTTTCTGTCTTATGGAAGCTTTTTATTGTTTTGTATTTGCATGGATGTTTCAAAGGGAATATTGAGAAGTAAAGTATGCTTTGTTAAATTTCTGCAATCATAATTGGAAGTACATAGCCCAATTTAATTTGGGAACTTCCTATGTTTAGCCAATGACATCCAAACAAGACAGAGACCTAGAGATTGCATAGCAGGTACTAAAGCCAGGTCTCATTTATTCATAAAGGTATAATTTTAGCTTTGTTTTTCTGTCTTGACTTACTCTCTACCCTTCGTTTTTTTTTTTTTAAATAACAGCTTAATTTAGGTATACTTCATATATCATACAATTCATCCTTTTAGAATGCACAATTTAATGCCTCTTAGTATATCTACAGAACTGTGCAGTCATTACCACACTGGATTTTACAATACTTTCATCACCTCAAGTAGAAAATCAGGACCCATTAGCTAATACCTACAAATCCAACCACCAGTTCTAGTCCACCACTAATGGACTAGAACTTCTAGTCCATTGCCAAGCCAAGGTCACAATGATTTATGCCTGTGTTTTCTTTTAATAATCTTATAGTTTCAGCTCTTAACATTTAGATCTGTGATCTTTTTTGGGTTAGTTTTTATATATGGTATGAACAGGGGTATAAACTAATTCTTTTGCATTTGTGTATTTAGTTGTCCTAGCACCATTTGTTTTAAGACTATTCTTTCCCACATTAAATTGTTTTGGCACTGTGGTTGAAAATCAATTGACATTTATATATGAGTTTATTTCTAGACTTCCAATTCTGTTTCATCAATCTGCATATCTGTCCTTTTGCCAATACCACACCATCTTGATTACTGTAGCTTTGTAGTAAGCTTTGGAATGGGTAAGCATGAATCCTCCAACTATGTTCTTTTCCAGAACATATTATTTAATATATTAAATATTAAATATTAAATATTAAATAATATTTAAATAATAATTAAATAATTAAAATATATTATTTAATATTTTTTGGGCTATTTTCATTCCCTTGCTTGTCCGTATGAAACATAGGATCAACTCATCAATTTCTTTAAAATAGCCAGATGGGATTCTGAAAGGGATCCTGATAGCAATACATGTGGGGTGTATTGCTATCTTAATAATATTCTCTTTTGTTCATGTAAATAGGATATCTTCCCACTTAGTCTTCAGTTTTATAAAAAGCATTTTGTAGTTTTTTTTTTTTTTTTTTTTTTTTTCTAAAATGGGGTTTCACCATGTTGGTCAGGCTAGTCTTGAACTCCTGACCTCAGGTGATCCACCTGCCTTGGCCTCCAAAATGCTTGGATTACAGGCGTGAGCCACCACACCTGGCTACATTTTGTAGTTTTTAGAGTATAAGTTTTGCAGTTTTATGTTTGTAACTAAATATTTTATTTTTTGATGCTATTGTAAATATGATTATCTTCTTAATATTATTTTTGGCCTACTCATTACAAATATTAACATATAGAAATATAATTAATTTTTGTATTGATTTTACATATTGCAATATGCTGGACTCTTTCATTAGTTCTAATAGAGTTTTTAAATGGAATGACTAGGATTTTCCTGTACATAAGCCTGGTACTTGCAAATAGAGATATGTTCACTTCTTCCTTTTCAATCTAGCTATTTTTATTTCCTTTTTTTTTTTTTTGTATAATTGCCTTTTCTTAACCCTTGATAGAAGTGGTGAGAGCTGATATCCTTTTCTTGTTTCTGATCTTAGAGCAAAAGCATTCAGACTTTTACTGTTAAGTATGATAATGGCTGTGGGTTTTCCATAGATATTTTAAAAATCGTATTAAGCAGTTTTTTCTATTTGTAGTTTTTTGAGTGTCTTTATTATGAAGGAAAGTTTAATATTATTATATGCTTTTTCTGTATTTGTTGATATAATCATATGGCATTTGTTCCTAATTCTATTAATATGGTATAGTACATTAACAATTTTCCTATCTTAAACCTTGCATTCTTGGGATAACTTCCACTGGATCATTATATTAGTTTGTTCTCACACTACTGTAAAGAACTACCTGAGACTGGGTAACTTATAAAGAAAAGAGATTTTATTGACGCAACAGTTCTATAGGCTGTGCAGGAAGCTTGGCTGGGGAGGCTTCAGGAAACTTACAATCCTGGTGGAAGGGTGAATGGGAAGCAGACACATCTTATCTTCACATGGAGACAAGAGAGAGAGAGCAAAGGGGGTTTGCTACACACCTTTAAACCACCAGGTGTCCTGAGAACTCACTCACAATCATGAGAACAGCAAGGGGGAAACTGCCCCCATGATCCAGTCACTTCCTACTGGATACCTCCCTCAACATTGGAAATTACAATTCGACGTGATATTTGGGTGGAGACACAAAGCCAAACCATATCAATCATGTTGTTCATTTTATAGGTTGCTGGATTCTGTTTGCTAGTATTTTGTCGAGGATTTTCAAAGATCTGTATTCATCAGGCATATTCATAAGTACAGCTTTATTATAAGTGGCCTGGAGAAATGGTAGTTGAGACTCCAGTATTCTCAGCCTGCTGTGCCTGGGGTAGAGTAACCATCCTATCAGACATTGTGGGAGCAAGGGATTCTCAACATCTTGCTGCACTTGCTGGCAATTTAGCCTCTGCAAATCAGAGCTGCAAGTCTGAAAAATCCTGATGATCTGCTCATCCAGCATGCTATCATGTACCTTGACTGTGAACTGGAGAAAGAAAAAACCCTGTTTTCTTGGCAGAGTTTTTCTGGAATGAGGAGTGGAGCTTTTGTCACACTGAGGGTAGGAAGGAGGGAGTCAGTTATGTCTCAAATGCCACTTTAATGAGGTTAAATAGAGTTTATTGAATAAATGTTTCTTCATTTGCTGTATGGCCATAGGACAATATTTAGAAATGTTAATTTTTAAAAAATTACTTTTAGCACTTACAGTTATTTCACTAGGGACCAGTTCCGCAAAACTCTATATACCATCATTCCAGGAGAGGAACTGTTATGGCTCCCTTTTGTTTTTGATGAGAGTTTATATTAATAATTATGATACAGGTTTTATGTTCAAAGGCATGATTTTCCTTAAGACAGTACATTTCACATAAAATACACTGCTTGCGTTTCAGTGATTTCTGATCTATGTCGCAGAGGCACTGTCTGTTAGACAGGCCTTCTGACCGAAGGGGCTGTATTTCTTCTTTGCTGCTGGGTGTTTGAAAGTTGGTGTATGGGTGGAGCCCTAGTCTATGGGCCATATCCCAGTTGCACTTAATCATAGGCTAAGCTATTTGATCACAGCCTCTTCTAATAGATTATGGATTGTCCTAAGGAGCTCGTAGACTTCTAGAGGCCTAAAAACTTCCTGCTTATGGATGAGTGCTACTCAGAAAAACTATCCCTTAGCCAGAGTTTTTCATCTCATCTCCTGCTTCTCTCATTTTGCTTCTTCTTCTTCTTCTTTTTTTTTTTTTGAGACGGAGTTTCACTCTTGTTACCCAGGCTGGAGTGCAATGGCGCGATCTCGGCTCACCGCAACCTCCGCCTTCTGGGCTCAGGCAATTCTCCTGCCTCAGCCTCCCGAGTAGCTGGGATTACAGGCACGTGCCACCATGCCCAGCTAATTATTTTTGTATTTTTAGTAGAGACGGGGTTTCACCATGTTGACCGGGATGGTCTCCATCTCTTGACCTCGTGATCCACCCGCCTCGGCCTCCCAAAGTGCTGGGATTACAGGCTTGAGCCACTGCGCCCGGCCCCTCATTTTGCTTCTTAATGGGATGAAGACTGTCTAGATTGTTTAAAATCAGCTAGAAATTGGAGGGTAGCCTGACTTAGGAACATCCTGAGACTTGACTGAAATCTTGCTATACTGAAGGGGAAATAAATACTTATTTTCCTATTCTTGTTCTAAATACCTGAATACTAAAGTTAGATGAGGGCTGGGTGTGGTCACTCATGCCAGTAATCCCAGCACTTTGGAAGGCTGAGATGGGTGGATTTCTTGAGCTTAGGAGTTTGAAACCAGCCTGGGCAACATGGCAAAACCCCAATTCTACAAAAAATACAAAAAATAGCCAGACATGGTGGTGGACACCTGTAGTTCCAGCTACTGAGGAGGCTGATCAGGAGGATTGCTTGAGCCCAGGAGTTCAAGGCTACAGCAAGCCAAAATCCTGCCACTGAGCTCCATCCTGGGCAACAAAGTCAGATTATATCTCAAAAAAAAAAAAAAAAAAGAAAAAGAAAAAGAAAAAAAAAGAGAGAGAAAGAAAAAGATAGGTGAGATTAGAGTCTGTGAAGAAGAGTTGCCCGAATTCACTTTCCTTGTGTTTTAGAACCATAAACATTAACTCTGTATCTTCTAGTTGATAAGGAATCTCTCCTCCTACCTAATTAGCTAGATCAATGCGATAAAGCATTTTCAGAAGTCATGCTAGGAATTTTAACTTTTAAAATTTCTGAAGTAATCTTCTATAAAAAGTCTGTAGTTCTATTCTAGTCTATTCTGGGATGTATTTGATTTTTAAATTCCTATGCTAGACTGCCCTATGTATCAAATCAGAGGATTACCTATAATATTATTGAAAGTTTAATAGGTCAAACTTAGTCTTTCTAAAGATGACCCCAAATATTTTATAAAAATCTATGAATATTATGGCTTAATTTCTGAACCAACTTTTAATTGATATAAACTGTTATGCAAATTAAACACGAGTATTTAAATATTTTGCAAAAATTTGGTAATTATCTATATTTGTTCAAATTATGATGTTACTCATTTTTTTCCTCATGTTTTGAAATGCTACTCTTTTCTGGATTTCTTTAACCATTAGATATAAATGTCATTTTTTAGACTAAACTTCAGTGGCTCTGTGAGGAACTGAAAGAAAGAGAAAACAGAGAGAAAAATCTGCGACACCAGCTGACGCTCTGCAGACAACAACTCAGGAATTTGACTGAAAACAAGGAATCTGAGCTGCAGTGTCTGTTTCAACAGATAGAAAGGCAGGAGCAGCTTCTGGATGAAATACATCGGGAGAAGAGAGGTGTGTTAGTTGTTCTTTCGTTTTTCTTTGTTTATATCTATGGAATCCTAATCCTAGGATTGGAAAAAACCTACCTCCACTGCATCCAGTTTGGACTGTGTCCAAGCCCATCTCCTTTTCTTGTCTTTGTCTTCTTATCTTTCATCATTTCTGGGACTAGAAGAGAAAACTCTTCAGCCACAGCATTCCTCCTGAGTATATGATGCTTGCATTTACTGGCTGTGTGCAGGAATTAATTGATAAGACATACTGCTTCTGTCCTAGTAAAATGCTGAAGTTTACATTTACTTCAGTAAAATACTCCTTAGATCATTCAATAAATATTTTGTGCCTATTTTCAAGTATGCACCATTCTAGGTACAGAGAATATATCAGTGAATAAAGCAGGAAAAAACAAAACAAACCTCCCTCATCTTACTTAGCTTATGGGGTGGAGACATAAAACAAATGTTAGAAATAAGTAAATTATATAATATTATAGAAGGTTGTAATCAGCGTGGTTGAAACAGTAGAGTAAGGGAAGGAGAGTTTGGGAAAACGAAAACAGGGCTTAATGTATGGGCAGAATCTAACTTTAAAATTGGACATGAGACTTGGAGAACTGCTTTCATTTCTGTTATACTGAGGATGCTTCATTATGGGAAAAAGTAGAAAACAATTCTATGTGTATCTTTTGTTGTGTTGGCCTTAGTCTATTGCTTTAATGGTGAATTTTTTTAAGAACTGAGGCTTAATAGTGTGTCTCATTAAGAAAATCTAAGTATTAACATTTAGTAATCCTTTCTAAAATATATTTTTTTGGTTTTCCTTTTAGTAATCTGAATTATTTTCCCACATGTACTACTTAGAAATTGTTCTTGTACTGTAGTGATTCTCAAGTTTTTAGTAACAGGACCACTTTGCTTTCAAGTTTTTGAGGCCCCAAAGAGCTTTTATTAATGTGCATTATCTGTATCAATATTTACCGTATTAAAAATTGAAACTGAGAATTTAAAAATATTCATTATATGTTAACAAAGAAATTAATGAAAATTATTTTCCAAGTCAAAAAACAGAAGAGTGGCGATATATTGCATTTTTGCCAAAAATTTTAATTTCAAAGCCGATATTTTTTAAATTGCTGGCTTAAAAGAAGACAAGTCACATTCTCAAATTTGCTTCTGCATTTAATCTGTTGTTATAATACATGTCACTTAAGCTCTGGAGAAACTTTATTTACATTCATGAGAAATTGTGTTTTAAAAAGGCAAATAATTAAGGCTGAAGCAGGTGGATCACCTGAGGTTAGGAGCTTGAGACCAGCCTGGCCAATATGGTGAGACCTCATCTCTACTAAATATACAAAAACTTAGCCAGATGTGGTGGGTGCCTTAATCCCAGCTACTCAGGAGACTGAGGCAGAAGAACAGCTCGAACCCTGGAGGCAGAGGTTTCAGTGAGCTGAGATCACGCCACAGCACTCCAGCGTGGGAGAAACAGAGTGAGACTTCTTTAAAAAATAAGTGCAAATAATTAATTCAGAGGCTGAGACAGAAGAATAGATTAAGAATAGGAGTTTGGGTAGACCCAGCACGGTGGCTCATGCATGTAAACCTAGCACTTTGGGAGGCCAAGGCAGGTGGATCACGAGATCAGGAGTTCGAGACCGATCTGGCCAAGATGGTGAAACAGTCTCTACTAAAAATACAAAAATTAGCCAGGTATGGTGACAGGCACCTGTAATCCCAGATACTCAGGAGGCTGAGGGAGGAAAATTGCTTGAACCTGGGAGGTGGAGGTTGCAGTGAGCCAAGACTGCGCCACTGCATTCTATCCTGGGTGACAGAGTGAGACTCAAAAAACCAAACCAAAACCAAACCAAAAAAAACAGAGTTTGGAGTTTAAGGCAGCAGTGTGCTATGACTGTGCCTATGAAAAGCCACTGCACTCCAGCCTCAATATCACAGCAAGACATCCTCTCAAAAAAAAAGGGCAAATAATATTTTAGTTTTATTATTTAAGGGTCTTGAATGGTTCCCAGAATGCTTTAGAAGGTAAGACTCTAATGTTCATAATCTCTCAAGGTGATTGCTTTTATATCTATTTTTTAAATTTAATGTTAATTTTTTCTCACTTTTTATCCATAGAGCATTTTAATTCCTTTTACAGTTTCGAATCAGCTTGTCAGTTTTTTAGAAAGAACATACTGGTGTTTTGATAGGATAGTGTGAGATGTGTACATTAATTTGAGGTGAAAGAACATCTTAGTAATGAGTCGTCTAATCCATGAACCTGGATCTATCCATTTATTTAGGTCATCTTTACTTTTCTCCTAAATATTTTGTAGTTTTCAGCAAACGGTGCTCTCTTTAAAGATTTGTTTCTTGATTTCTAATGCTATAATAAATGGCATTTTAAAGTTCTAAATTTTAGCATTTATTTTTGGTACATAGGCATATAATTGATTTTTTGGTGTATTAACCAACTGTTTTTGCAACATTTCTAAGACCATTTATTAGTTCTAGTAGCTTTTTGTTGTTGGTGGTGGTGGTTCCTTAGCATTTAGTATTTTATTCAAACATGATCACATTATCTGTAAATGAAGACATTTTTGCTTCTTCCTTTTTTCTTGTTTCTTGGCTTAAGTGGTTGATTTACATGTGGCTCATTTACATGTGGCTGGATTTGGTTTATTAATTGTTCGTTAAGAATCTTTGCATCTCTGTTCATAAGGAATGTTGGTCTGTAGCTTTTTATTGTGTGTTTATCTGACTTACACGTTATTCTAATAGTCACCTCATCAGATAAGCTAGTTTGATCTTTTCCTTTTATATTTTGGAAGCATTTGGGTAAAGTTTCTTTTAAAATATGTGGTAGAATTTGTCAGTGAAGCCACCTGGGTTGGTGGTTTTCATTTGGGGAAGATTTTTAATTTCAAATTCAAATTCTTTAATAAATATAGGGCCATTCAGAATTTCTAGTTTTTCTTGAGCCAATTTTATGAATGTGTGCTTTTCAGGGTATTTTGTCAATTTCATCTAAGTTGTTGAATTTATTTGCATATAATTTCTCATAATATCCCCCTTTTTAATTCTTTTAATTTTTGAAGATCTGTATTGATGCTTTCTATTGTATTCCTAGTATTGGTAATTTGTTTTTTCTCTTCCGTTTTTTGTAAGTCTTACTGAGGGCTTTATTTTACTATTATTTTCAAAGAAACAACTTTCAGATTTTTAATATTTTTCTGTTTGTCTTTTGTATTTTATTTGTCTCTGCTGTTATTTGTGTTTTTTTCCTTTAACTTGCTTTGTATATTATTTACTCTTTTTCTTGCTTCTTAAGTTGGAGTCTTTATTTTACCTTTCTTTCCTAAATAGGCATTCAAAGTCATACATTTTTATTTTAGTAATACGTTAAGTACATTCCACAAATTTTGCTATGTTTTCATTATTACTTAATATGAATTCAAAAATATTTCTCTTTGATTTGTTCTTTGACCCGTGTGTGTGTGTGTGTGTGTGTGTGTGTGTGTGTGTGTGTGTGTACTGCTTAATTTCCAAATATGTAGAGCGTTTTCTAGATATATTTTATTATGGGTTTCTAACCTAATGTCCTTGTAGTCATAGAATGTTCTCTCCATGATTTTGATTCTTTGAAATTTACTGAGACTCATTTATGGCCCCAAATCTGTTCTATCTATGAATTTTACATATGCACTTGGAAAATAAACTATGTTCTGCATTTATTATGAAATGTTTTATAAAGGTCATATGCCATATTGTTTCACTATGAATTTTTTCATTAAACATTTAAATATCACTGTCACTTTTTTGCTCATTTTCTTTTTCTTTTTTTCTTTTTTCTTTTTCTTTTGCTGCATATATTTTGGAACTCTGTTGTTAAATTCTTAGTATTGACTATGGGAATGTGTCCAGTTAGAGGCCCATTGATATGTTCTCTACGAAAGGAAAAGCGGGACTGAAAAAGGACCTTGATAGTGGAATTGGAAAACAGGCACCAAATGCAAAAGATGTTGTGGAGGACCAGCTCAAGGTCCACAACACACACAGAAGGAAGAGAGAGGACTCACAGGGGAATCAAAGGTCTCAATGGTTTTGCCATTGTGAGAAAGAGCAAAGTCAGGAAGTAGTTGATTTGGTAGGAGAAAGGAAGGGTATATATTTTTTTTTACCTAATTCTTAACATCAAAAATGTAAAAAACAAAAACAAAAACAAAAAGTATTATAAAGGCCCAAACTTTTGTCACAAGAGATATGTTAATCTTTTGCATGGTGTGTGAAAAGCATTGTATTAATACTGCTTGGTGGATTCGGACATAATGAACACTTTAATCTGCCACCAAGCTAATGCTGTTAAAGTTGAGGACTTATAAACAAGTTAATTACTAGAAGTAAAAGCAACATGTTCTTGGTAAAAAGAGTTTTGATTACTTCTGCTGGGGTCCCTGTGGGGACATTTTTATGGGACATGTCATTTTATTTGGATATTAAAAATGAAGCAGCATTTCCATAAGGAAAAGAGGAGGAAGATTTTCTGCAGAATTTATCTGCGTAGTGATTTAAACTTTATTATTATTATTTTTTTTACAATGGTACACATAGAGAAGGTAAAAGGTAGCAAAACAAGTGATTAAGTTTAGATATTTCTGACACATCAAAGTTAAATTGTTTATACAAATTTATATTTGCTTCTCTTTGCTGTCTTAAAAACTTATCTATTAAGTAGAAATAAGTTAACCTATCTATAAATGAAATATGACAGATAAACTTTCTATTTGCTAGAATTAATGCCATCTCACAGTTGATTTGTGTGATTTAGTGTCATAGTAAGTGACTCTTCCCAGGTTACCTGTGCCCTGGGACAAGGCGTTTCTGCCACTGAGTGCTGTTATAGTCACAGATTCAAGTTGTCATACACTTTCTGGGTATTTTGGGCCTGTAAGTCTGGAAATTTGGAATTTGGAAATTCCTGTAGGAGAGAAAATTGATTAAAAGGTTAAT